TATGTTGAACTTTAAGTCCCTACAGAATATGATAAAAACCAATAACAATTAGAATATATTTTGAAAACAGGCATAAAGAATTATATACTTCTTATATTTACACATAAGTCCAAAAATCTTACCATATACAACCTTGAAGCAGGACAGTCCTATGTACGTTGTTATTTTCTTAGTGGTTATCCATAGTACAAGATGCAGACAGGATATCCTGTCCAAACACTATTACTACAAATGTTTCTTCTCATTGAATTAAGTGAAAGTAGCTGTACATCTATCCTAACTATTCTGCATATACAGATACAAAATGGTCCTTCCTTTGTATCCCCTTTTTTTGGTTTAGTCCTGTCAGAGGTAGGCATTTCACTGGCATCTAAATACTATAGATGCTTGAATTCAGCAAAACAATCCAACACAGTCCAGTAGTCCACAATAGTAGTGGGTTATCCACGGAAGTTGTTAACTTGAGCCTTTCACAGCTCAGCATATTAATATGGCTTTACTTTATATATCTTGTTTTTATACTTTTCTGCTGGATGGTTAAAATCAAGATAAAGTGAGACCTATATAACAAGAAATGTAACTTTTGTATCTGATGAGGTCAGTCAAGTCCCATCAGGATTTATGCTGTAACCTTATACTGCAGTTTGCAGATCCTTTGTCAGTGTCAGCCATGTGGATGAGTTCCATGCTTTTGATCATGCAAGAATTAAACTTTGTATATCCCAGGGGATGACTTAGAAGGATAATTTAGAAAGTCCAAGAAAAGCAAGAACATACATGGAAGTACTAGGGGAAATAGTCATGGAAAAACACAAGAAAGTTCTTTGAAATGTGTTGGGGTATAATCAGAATAGTCACATAGTAAATCTTTGTTTCAAATAATCCTTGGGTTAAAAATCCTTTATGCAAATTTCCTGTTTCTTCTAGTAGACAGTAAATGTTCAATGCCAATTAATAGTATAGCAAGCTCTTGAGTTCATTGATAGCATAAAACCCCTGTCAAATTTCACTGTTACAATTCTTACTTAAATCTCTATAGTTGACAGAAATTTCAGACATCCTGACTCTTCATCTCTTACATAAATATAATGTCTGCCCACATAAAATCTATGAACCTTTCTCATATATGACTATTTCTCATTTTTTCTATTTATGCTTTATATTTTTGAATAGTTTATTCCAGAAATATCACAATTGATATTGTCAAGTGAAAATATTAAAATTTAGTGGAAAATTTTAAGGAGATTTAACCGAGCAGATAAAATACACATTGTTTTTAAAGTGGTATCATACCTCTCTTCCACCCTATGGGTCATGATTCCACCTGAGTCTACAGGGTGGATTTCAAAGAAATAGCTGTAGCTCAGTCCCACAAGTGACGCCTAGCCACCAGTAACTGTCTTGGTCATTATGCATGTCCACAACACACTAGAACTTTATTCGATATCCTATCCTCAAACTGTTAGAAGTGCTGGTCATTTATTTGCCTTTCCAGTATTT